TCCTACAACCATTCTACTACAATCCTACAACAAGATCCTGTACGATCTTGCTAGATTCTACAAGATCTGACTACAGGATCCTATAAGAATCGTACAGTAGGATTTCTTCATTTTGAAGTTTTCCTATCAGATTTTCGTAGGATCGTACAAGATCCTATAGGACCCTAAAGTAGAATCTTGTAGGATCTACGGTAGCCCGAGTGAATGCATTTGAGACCAAGTCCTTGAATACTTGCAGATTTCAAAAAGTACTTGGTGAAGCGCTTGAAAAGTATTTTTATAAATCAGTACTTCTCAAGTTTTTCCTTGAGTACTTATGAAAACTCTCGAATATCTCAAGAATTGATAAGTACCCGTGTTACTTTTGGTAGCACTTGGCGAAGTACTTGTCAGATGCTTCTTTTACAACGTGCATACAGAGAAAGTGAATTTTTCATAAGATATAAATTTATGAAATTATATTGACTGCAGCTGAATGATTTATTTTAATTTATTTTATTATAATAAACTTTCGATTATAAAATAATCATTATCAGATTTTTATTCGAATTTTATCTATATTTTATAATCGAAAGTTTATTATAATAAAATAAATTAAAATGACTCAGTCAGCTGCAAACAACATAATTCTACAGATTCATAAAATCCTACCATAAATATAAATTTAGTTGAAGCATAAGTCAAAATTCTGATCATCTTTAGTTACAATGTAACTCGTATGGTGAACACATTTCTATTGTTGTTGATTTTAATTTCTTTTGCAACTTAATCATCTAACATTGAGCAAGTTAAAACATCATAAAAATATTTTTTGTATTTGATGATTTACGAGACAGTGATTTTTCCAATGATTTGTATATTAGAAAACATTTATGAGTAGATACACTAAAAATTGTTGCCAGTACTTTTTTCTTTAACACTGGTTATTAACTTACCTGGCCTTTTCTCACTGATTCTTCTCTTTTATTACACTACACTTGTTGTCTTGGATTGTTTTTCTTTGTGATATTATACGCCTTAAATCCTTTTAACAAAACTGATTCACTTGTTCTGCCCATGTCATTCTACCCATGTCAATTTTTTTTCAAGATTTCTGACATATGTGCGTTTTTTGGCACTTTTTGGGCCACACTACCGCAACGCCAGAAAACGCATGCTTCTTATATGCGTTTTCTTGGCGGTATATGCGCAACCTTACATTTATATAAATGGGCCTTCTCCATTGAAAATTAACTTAGAGATTTTTCTAAGTGACTCCGCTTAGCTGGGAGGAGACTGCGGACAGTGAAATCTACTGCCAGAGATCTGTGGGTGGGTTAGACGAACCTGTCCGGGAATTGTCTGATAAACACATAAAGCTTTATTCGGTAATTACAGACAACAATATTTTATGCATGGAAATCGATGATATTTTCTGCGTTTTATCAGAAAAAGTTTTGTTTCTGCAGAAAAACGCAAAGAATTTCATGCGTGTGATGCTACGAAAGACACAGAAATTTTACTACAGGTTTTTGCAAAACAACGGGCCTGAATTTTTGCAATGTTTTGCATTAAATGTCTCTCAAAATTTCGACATGGGTAGTTAGTTGGAGATTAGATGGAAACAAACGCCACTCAAGTGAACGAATCAAGAATTTGTCTAATAAGATTACCCTTTTGAATATACGGATGCATTCAACAGAATCAGGTCTTGCATTTTATGCAGCCGGTCTTAATTGCATGATACAAGATCTGACTATTAAGAACAGGTTCACATTTTAACTCAAAATGATAACTTTATTAGATTAGTAATTGCCAAATGCTTCAAGTATTTCAAGAGAAGAAGGCAACAGGAAATTACCAGGTATCTAGACATCAGTTGAAGTCGCTGTAAAAAATAATAGTGACATATAATCAGGACAAAAATGGAATAATGTGCAATATTAGAAAAACTCATACTACCGATATATACTGCAATAAAGTGACAAGAGAAAATAACGATTTTCTTTTATCTATTCAGTATATGGCGACAGAGTATATTGAGCGCGAGTCTGCACTGACAACAGAATAGTTTGGAAGCGTCTATTAGGCGCTTTAGTCTCATTTCAAATGTCAATTCAATAAACCGCTAGTGGTTAGAGGCACTTGCTGTGAACTTTGCAGCTGGATAGACGACAGCCGATGTGCCAATCTACGACGAAGAAGAATTGTAAAACAACTTTCTCTCGCTTATTCCGCTTGCATTATTATTTTTAGCAGATTTTCTGGAGAAATTTCGCATATGGGTTCTTGAGTCAATGAACAGTATTTTTTAGATAATTTAATGAGATCGAAGCTAAGTTGACAATTTGTTTTGCACCGACTCTAGAAAACTGGTTTTCAATCTATTAGATCTAACAAAAATTCATGAGCAAAACAAAAGTTCAATAAGCTGATGATTCACATGACATGTCTCAGTGATGAAGCAATATTTTTTAAATCAATGCTTAACTTTTTTCCCACAAGTAGAGTGGTTAGAATAAAGGAAGAAAAAATGTTTTGTCGCTCAATCAAAAAAATAGAAAGATTTGACGGAGGAAACTTCCCAGGTCCCGTTTTCAATGACCGCATGTCAATAGTTATGAATTTTTTTTTATTTCGCCGGAAAAACAGGTACAAAAAAGATCGGCCAACAATCTTACCAAACCATTACAATGATGGAATAACTATTATTCACATAGAAACTCAATTACATCATCAAAATAAACAAATTAAATAAATTATAGAGAGCGAGAAGAGAGAAGATAGTTTGTCCATTAGGAAACATTAACAGGACCACATATGATTAACCATAACAAAAGCAAAATGAATTATTTCGAAAACATAGTTTTCTTTAAAAACAAGGAAAATTCAATAGATTATTTTCTAGAGAGGCTGAAATCTGATTCTTTCTATGATATTAATCAAGTATTAGAACAATCATAGAAAAGAATACCAGCTCAAAATATGCTATTTTTATGGAGCAGATATTGAGATAATTTTCAACCATTTTAAAAAAATCAGCTTTTTAATATTTTTCACTGAAAAATGAATGACTTTTAAAAATTTTAAATTGACTTTTTGCTAGGTAATTCCACAAACTCTATTCAATCATGACAAGACAAAACGAAAATACAAATTTGCTCCCTTTTTGCATTTATTATAAATAAAATTATAAATAAATATTAAGTGGAAAATGTTAGGTTACCAGGGAAGAAAGAAGCAAAAAATATTTTTATACACTTTTTGAAAGCAAATGAAACACAAATATGTACTTTTAGTACTAGTAAATTGAAAATGACTCTAATAGCTTCAGAAAACTTCTCAGCACTTTTCTTCTGTAGTGTTTCTTTACTGAATGAACTTTAAAAATAAAAGAGTGAAATAACATAATATTATCAATGAATCCTGTATAAAGATGTATATCTTCAATGCTGACTCATATGTTTAGATTCGAAAAGAAGCTTTATAAAAAAAAACTAAATTCAATAACATAACTGTAATTCGGAGTTGATTATTTATTATAAAAGTTGTACCAAACTAGTTAAATTATATTTTTTCTTGAGAGATGCAAAAATGTTTTGTTTTTCTTTAATGACTTTGAATAACTTCATTAAAAAATCATTCGAAAATGTTGCAATAATAAATAAATATTAAGCGGTTCTTTTTTTCCGTCATAGTCTAATAATACTGATACTAAAAATTCGAGAATAAACATTTACCTCTTATTATCCTACAAGTTCTTTAGCAATTTCTGTCACGTCTATTTTATGAAATTGTGCATTGGTTTATAGTTCTAGTTATCGAAGCTAAAAGCCAGGTAAACTGTTTGAATGTGAATCCATCAAAGGCGACTATCAGCTTTTGACTACAGAACGGAATACATGTAAGTTTGTAGAAGGAGACTTCCTCTATCCAATGGTGTTATAATCATTTTGCTGGAAGCCTTTGAAAAAGTCACAATTGTGATATAACGTGATATGATTGATCATAACTCTACCAGAAAACATGGTGAAGAGCTGGGATATATCTCATTTTGTAGAGAAATCTTTACGCTACAAGAGTGACTGTTTCAAAAGTTCATCAAGTACTGGATGAAATAGAAAAAAGTTCCAAAATAAAAAAATAGGGTTTTTCAGCTTAAAGTAACAAATTTTAAAAAGTTTGTATCTCTTCAACGGAAGGACTTGGAGAGCTGGAAGTGATCTTATTTTGTAAAGGACACTTTATACTTGATAATGCACAATATTTAACTCAAAAATTAAAAAAACCTAAACAAAGACGAGTTACCTTTAATTTTCTCTGACGGTGTACATTAGGACTCAACAATATATACTCCACTAGATAGAGGAAGTCTTCCTCTACAAACCTACGTATATTCTGTCCTCTAGTCAAAAATCACCGTGAAACTTATAGTCGTCTTTTCTGACTGATTTATTTTCTAGATGTTTTTGCTCACAATAATGGTTTTACTGATAATTCTTCGTGACTATTACGCAGCTGTCACACATACATTTGATTTTAGTAGTCAAATGCCGTCAAAATTTGCTTCTATGTTCAGTATGAGTTGGTTTGGACTTGGTTTAAATGATCCACAAGGTCAGGGTTCTGATTCTTATACAAATCATTGGAATGTTGGTCCACTAAGTTCATGTGTTTCGGGAACGAATCCGTCTATATGCAGCACAGACTATACGTCTAGTCCACAACGTCAAATATCATCAAAATATCGTCCATTACTCGGTATATATTCATCCAGTGGTAAGGACACTGAAAGTGCATCACGTATTGATCTTATGTTGTCAACAATACGTAGTTCATGTAACACAGGTGCGAGACTAGACGCATGGTGTATTCAATTAGAATCAATACAATTATCATCGAAATATGTTCAAAATCCGTCTATGAACATTGAAATTCCCTATCAAACATTTCTAAGTTTTCATCGGCGAGCTCAAGCGGCTAATTTACAAAATGTAATCATACCCGGATACGATAGTACATGGCTCTATTCATTTTCCACTTATTTCGGTCTTGGTAAATGCGATAATAGTGATGTTAATAATTCTCGTTCAATTTGTCTGAATATTACTATTGCCGACTTTATTGACATAGTCAATATGGCCTACAGCTACACTTCATCGACCTATTTTGTTAATTCAAAACCCGTTCTATTCATATATACATCATCCGGAGGAAATTTCTTGACTTTATCCGAATGGACACAAATATTTTCAGCTGTACGTCAAAAAGCAAATAGGGATTTTTATACAGTCAGTACAAGCAATTTATTTCAAGAATTTGATGCTGTGGCACCATGGATTAACTATGATGCATGGTCAATGACAAATTCAACTTTACCATTGTATAACCGAACAATACAGTGGATGAATCTCATGTATTCACAGTTATTTATTAGTGTAAACAATTATCCTGGTCGAGCAATATTAGGAGGTTTAACACCGGGATTCGATGATTATACTCAAGGATGGGGTGCTTGTACAACACGTACGATTCCACGTGATACCATTTTACTTCAGGCTCAATTCGATTATTTTAAAAAGCAGAACATCAACCGGATGTTTTTATTTACATGGGATGATTATCAAGAAGGAAGTATATTTGAACCGGATATTGTCAATGGTACATGGGCTTTAGTCACATTTCGACAATTGGTGGGAAAATATTTTGGTGAAGAAGACAATTCTTTGGATGAACAAAAGCTGATAAGTCAATGGACAAAATATCCACAAATTCGAAATTGTACAACTATTCAGGTAACGTCAATACCGATCGTCAAACTTACATGTTCAGTGATAGACAATAGAAATAAAACGATGGCTACCCCGATCCAGCTTAATCTTATTTTACTGTGGACACTTTGCTCCATAATATTCCATAGTATCAGAAACCATGTATAACTCTATTTCTTCATTCTGATTAACCGAGAAACACACTATTTTATAATGGTAAAGATTGATTGAGTAGTTAGTTTTGTCATTTTAATCTATAACCAACCACTTGTTTGAGAGGTATTTTGAGTACTCGAAAATACGCTTTCGATCGACCGACGCCGAGAGCTCCACCCCTCGAAAAATGTGACTTCAATATGAGCGTTCGAGGGGTTATCGATTTCAAGCCTTCGGGTTTCAGATAGGTAGCGAGCTATCGAAAAAAAGTTCAAACCGTTGAACAAAGATGTTCGTGACTCAAGCAGATGAAAAGACTTCCGAACCCTTTTCTCTACTGGAATTTCCAGTTGAAATAATGATTTCAGAACAACAGCATCCATTAATGAGGGAAGGTCCTCAGATGCCCAATTCCGTTTTTAATCATGTTATGCCAGTTAATAGAAGAAAGTGAGCTGATAAAAACCCTAAACGAATTTGGACTCATATTACTTCTTTCAAAAGTTATGAAGTTTTTTGTTCTAAATGAACACTGTACTGTGTGTAGTAACAGTAAAAGCTCTGTAACCCAGTCAAAACAAAGAATTAAGAGCCGAAATTTTCTTCTGTACTTGTGGAAGAAAACAAAGAAGATAATTAACTTTGTCATGTGCGTGCTTTCCCACTTGTGAGACAAAGGAAAACTAGAGAGCCAACTGCCCCTGTACGAAGACTGGAGAGTCGACTTTTTTCCAGAAAGATAATGTACTTCTACGGGATATTGTTCATATTATCATATCAACTGGTTCATCCACCTATCAAACCTTCTGCTTTAGCTTTCGTCACATCAAGCACCACAGTATATGCTCACTATGAAAGATATCACGTGACGATTAATTATCTCAAAGGAAAAACGACAGAGTCATTCTGATTTTTTAGGATGTTCTCTTGTTTCAGGAAAACAGTGTTCTCCTTCAAGAAGAAAAATTCAATAACTGTACTGAAAGAAGTAATATGGATCCAAATCCGTTTAGGGTTTCTTATCAGTTCACTTTCTTCTATTAACTGGCATAACATGATTAAAAACGGAATTGGGCATCTGAAGACCTTCCTTCGCAAGCCGATTAATTATTGTTTTCTTGTACACAAGACACAAGAAAGTGCGTCCTGTACTGTAATCAACGGCTTTACATCCCTTTCTGTTTTTTCTACTGTTTTATTCAAATACTATTTTACACACCCATACACAGAAGACTTCACTACAACGCTCTCTATTTTCTACTTAACTATTGGGTGACATGGACTGACCAATGAGGAAAAGGATATGGTTATCATCTCGGTTAACGTAATTGCAAATATATTGAGAAAGTGTACCAAAGAATTTTCAGTTTTCAGTAGATTAACCTTCTACACAAAATGACGGATTGATCAATCAATCAGAAGTCGTTTAAAGATTTCCTGTTTTGTGATCAAAGAAGTACAGAGTGTCTTGGGGTCAGTAGTTTCATCAAAAAAGTTAACTTAAGTTTTTTGATGAAACTGGCCCTTAACAGATTTATACATCATGCGTATCCCGATCTTAAGACTTACCCTAATAAATTTATTTTTCTTCTGGATTCACCCCATTATGTTAGGGTCTTTTTTTCATCATATTATTATTGCCTTTGTTTCGATATTAAAAACTACTCAACTTTCAATATTCTGTTCGACTACGCAAACAATTTATCGTAGCTAGTTTCTCTTGCATCCATCAGTTGTTATTCTTTTTTTCTAGGGAAAAATTTTTTGATAAAACTGATTGGATTCTTACAAAAATCTTACCAGTTTCTTATATAAGATTGTTTAAAATTTTCCATCAATGGTCGTAAATGTCCTAAAAGAACCGTATAAGTTTTCATAAGAGCTTCGTAAGAAATTCATAGGAAGTACCAAAAATTCTTATGTTATTTTTATCTATTCGAAAGCAGCTTATGAGTCGGTTTTATCGATTTTTGTTATGATTAAGTTGCTTCGCATTTATTTTGATGACGTATGATTCTTTGAGTCATATTAGTAGAATTCTTTTTTTTTAAGGTATAAAAATTGTTATTTTGTTGATATGTATTAATTAGTTAATCGGGCAATATTTTAGTTCTCAATGTAACTTTCATTCTTATGTAAAATAAGTTTATCTACGGCCTAATTGTTAAGATATCCGGACAGCTGAATTACGAGTTCTCACTTTTCGTGGTTCTCAGTTTCGTGTGAGTCTTAGTCTTAGTCTTAGTTCGATCTCGTTGAATGCCATTTGTTCTTTTTTTTCCTATTACTCATACACTTACGACGAAGGACAGTAATATTCCATAAAACTAAAAATCAGGCTTTTTTTTGGCTGACATTCGACTTAGGGATTTCTTATGTTTTTCTTATGAAAATCTTATCAAATTCCTATAAGGCACTTATCACTTTCAATGGAAAATCGTAAACAATCTTGTATAAGAAACTGGTAAGACTCTTATAAGAATGTTATAAGAGACTTATAAATTTCTGAAAAAGATTCTTATATAAGAATCACTTACTTTTCACAGAAGAATATTTCGTTTAGATTTATTTTGTACTTTGCACTATATATTTTGAAAACATGGTGAAGTTATACGATGAGTCGTAGTTATATCATACAATTACATAATTTACTACAAGCATAGAACTTAATTATTCTTATTACACCTTCCATTTCAATTGGCTTTGAAGGACTATTACCGATGGATTATTACCGGAGGTATTGAGCATCCTGAATAACTAAAGGTTTTTATTGAGTAACGCATTTTTTGACTAAAATTTTTTTCTAAGTAACTGAGTTACTCAGACGCTAGAGAAAATCACTTACTCAGGTGCATAAAAGACAGTTTCTCAACTTAAATTTCTTAAATAATTTGACCAAGTCAAACTTTTTTGAGTAACTGTATCCAAACGAGGGGATGATTTGCCATCCCCTATCACCCCCTAATCGATAACTCTGGTCTCACACTTTTTCTTTTGTCTATTACACTGTTTTTTTCTATTTTTCAGATATACGAAATTTGAAATATCATTGATTTGATAGTTGTATATGTATTTAAAGCTTTTACGTTTAACATTGAATAAAACTTATTTAATACAAAAAGATATTTTTCGTTATAACACAAATTTCATTATGGTAAACTAAAAATAAGATTAAGATTAATAGGATACGATTGTCATTTAGATATTATTAAATCATCAATGATATGTTTATTTTTCTTTAGCCAAGTTCGAATTTGGATGAGTTTCATTCGTTGTTATCAAAATCGAAATCGATCGTTGTATTAACAGGCGCTGGTGTTTCAGCTGAAAGTGGTGTACCAACATTTCGAGGAGAAGGTGGTCTATGGAGAAAATATCAAGCAACAGTAATTATACAAATGCATATACAATAAGCAAGATATGCATATGATCTAATGGCCAAGGAAAAAAAAGTGCTTCTTTTCGTGATTCTTAGACATTTTTGATCGGCAGCATCACTTTGTATTAAATACATTGCAAAAAAAGCACAATCAATAATTATCCATCCCAAATAAATTTGAGATGGAAACATTCTAAATGCACTTAGACTACACTTAGATTACACTAGTGATTTCATTAGATGCAGACCTCTGCATGTAATCAAATCACTAGTGTAGTCTAAGTACATTTAGAATGTTTCCACCTCAAATTTATTTTGGATGGATAATTATTGATTGTGATTTTTTTGCAATGTATTTAATGCAAAGTGATGCTTTCAATCAAAAACATCTAAGGTCTAGCAACAGCATCCATTGGCCGTTAGATCAATATATATTATTCAATAGGATTTGGCCACACCTCAAGCATTTCATAAAAATCCATCATTAGTTTGGGAATTTTATCATTATCGACGAGAACTTGTACAAACAAAACATCCAAATCCTGTAGATAAACATACATCTAATTCTATATAAATTCTATTTGACTTATTTGTTTACTTTTAGGCACACTATGCTCTAGTAGAAGCGGAAAAACGTTTTAAAAGTGAAGGCAAACATTTTTGTCTTATAACACAAAATGTTGACGGTATACAATATTTTAAAAAAGACATTCATAGATTTATTAAATATATTTGTTTTTTTAGGTTTACATCATCGTGCCGGCTCAGAAAATTTACTAGAAATGCATGGTAATTTATTTTATGTTCGCTGTACAAATGAAAAATGTCAAAAAATTGAAGAAAATCATGATAGCCCAATTTGTGATGCTTTAAAAGATAAAGGGTAAATATTGTTTTCTATTTTTTTATAATAAAGACTTAATTCAAATTTTTAATTTGTACTATAGAAATAAGATATCACTTTGTTAGAAACATTTATACATAATTAATAATCAATCCTATTGCTTTTGTTTAGTGCACCAAATCCGGACACAAAATCTGCTGAAATTCCTGTTGAAAAATTACCAAGGTAGATGATACTGATAATTAATGATAAATGTTATATATATTTGTGTATTTAAATATTCTAGATGTAAACATTGTTCATCGCTATTACGTCCACATATTGTTTGGTTTGGAGAAGCTTTATGGCCCGATGTACTTGAAAAAATTGAAAATGAACAAGAGAAGTGTGATCTATTCATTGTTGTAAGTACTATGTTCTTAATTAAACATTTTTATTCAAAAAAATTTGTAGATTGACTGTATTAATATAGATTAATGTTTTTGTAAGTATAGGGTGGCTCAAAAGTGGCTTTATCGAAGAAAATTTTGGATATCTACGGAGTAAATGAACTAAATCTTTTTACCGCTAATAGAAGAGTGTTTATAAATCATATCCATAAGAAAAACGTTTAAAAATACTGTTTTAAAATATACCCTGGACTTCAGTAAGAAAAACTAACTTATGATGAGTAAGGAAATAACATTTTTATTTCCCTAACAAAATAATAAACGACAGATGTCATTTTTTCGATTAATTCTTCAAACTATGGTCGTTGAGTTTCAAATTTGTACCATAGATGCATGTCTTATTACTCGGTGTACCCTGAAAGTTTCAACTATAAACAGCTAGGATGTGTTGAGAAAACTGCAATACTGTTTTTCGTAACTCGTTTAAGGTTACAGTTTTTATTGAAATCGATGGTAATACTTCAAAGCAGTTCTTTTAAACGTTTTTCTTATGGATATGACCTACTCTCTAAAAAATAAAGGTATTATTAAATACGAAAAATGGTATAACCATTTGAACCATATCATAACTGTTTAAGCGTTTTTTACTTTTATCAGAAAACTCCTTTGGGATTTTTAGAATATGAACAAGCCGTGATTTAAAAAATCCTGAATTGCTTTGATATTTTAAAATACCTGAAAGGTTTTTTTGTGACATGAAGAAACTTCAGCCGTTTTACAGAACATAATTTAGCCGTATTTTAGAAAACGAAAATTAGTTTTTTGATAAGAATAAGAAACTTTTAAACAGTTATGATATGTTTCAAATGGTTAAACCCTTTAAACGTT